GTTTACTTATAATGAAGATTTCTTCAGTAGATGTTCAAGAAATTCTTGTTGCTTAATTAGTACACCATAACCAGATTTCTAGGTTTTAAAGAATTAACACTCATTGAAATATTTAGGTCAAAACAAGTATTAAAAGTAACATATCTTTTCCTTTATTTTGAAATTCAAGTTAGGATCTCGTAGTCTCTCAAGTTATCATGAGTGGAGTGTATTGTATATGCTAAAAGGAGTGATAAGCCTTTCAGAAAAATTGGTATCTGTGATCTGAAAATAATTTGTTTTAATGGAAAACATGTTAATATACCCTAGTAAAGTCAAAATACATGTAATTTTTCAACACTGAAACTCTTCATTCATTATTAGGTATCTATCCAGTTCAGTATATATGACATTTCATTATATACATACCTCATAGTGTTTCTTCTTCCTTGCTGGTGAACAGGTAGGTTAGCATTCTTAAGGAGAGAATAAACTTTCATGTTTTCTAGCAGAAAAGCGTTATTCTCTCAGGAAAGTGATAGGAAGAATTCAAAACCTTTCAAGAGATAGCCACAAAATTATTTTTCTATTTGATTTCTTTTGTTAAGAATTAATTTTACCTGGTTAACATTGATAGAGTAAGTTACATTGAATTAAACAATGTAACTTGCCTACAGTGCATAAGAGTGAAATACGTACATTGAAACAAGAGTGGTGAAATCTCATTAAAAAGCCAAATATGCTACTTTGGCCTTAAAACCCTTTAAGAATTGGATTTAGAATGCACTTTTGCATCAGTCATGTTTCATCAAAACTAGAGGAGTCGGTGCTCCCCAAATGGATACATGAATTCAATGCAGCTCTAATCATAACCTCAGCAGGCTTTTCTGTAGAAATTTACAAATTGATTTGAAAATTTGTATAGAAATTAAGAGGACCTAGAATATCAAAGGAGTCTTGAAAGTAAGACTCGCACGTTTCCATGCTGGCAGGAAATATCACTGCGTTCCTTTGCGGTTAAAGTCCTTGAATTCTCGTATAAGTTAGGCAGGAGTAGCTGGCTCATGTTGGACTTGTATAAAACAAGTATATACACATTATACAGTGACCCACCTAAACCATCTAAATCAAATTCATCTTTCACTTGTTGGCTGACTAATGATGAACTTTAATTACCTTCTGCCACTGTGTGAAGGGGTCTGACCACAGGACGATGGTAGTATTGGGTTGTCGGAAAAGTCATGGCGCATTTTTGCAACGAAAAACATAGAAAAAATACATCATGACTTTTCCGACTCAATATTTGTTTCCTTGTCCTCTTCTCACTCCCAGCAAAGCTGCGCCTCTTACTTGTAGGAGCCTTAAGCTTTTTCCTTTTCGGTAACTTCTTATCCTTCTTACCACTTCACTTATGCCACGGATGTTTTTCTTACAGACTTTGGGGGTGTAGTGTATTTGAACATGCAGTTAGGAATATTGTACATTTATATGTAACTCAAAACCATGGCCTTACACAAATAGGAAGTTTATTTTTCCCTTGTAACAAAACGGAGTTTTTTAAAGGCTGAGCTCTCCTGGTTTTTTTAACTGACGCAGCATCTTAGCAAGGAGAGAGATGGGAGAGACGGCAGAGCCGGTGCCTAAATGTCCTTGACAGTTGTCTGTGCAATGTTTGAACAGTCCCCCAAACCCATTTCCCCTCAGTCTGCCCCCAGCTCTGATTTAATACCCTCTTATCCAAGAGGTTTTACTATCCAGTATGTTCTGAGACTCAGAAGCACAAATCCATTTCTTCGGGTGAGGTGAGTGCTGTAAGTAAGACTCCCTGTTTCCCGTTCTCCAGCCAAGATCTGAAACCTTATTCCCCTGTTTCTTTCAATACCATCGTCCAGTAGATCACCAAACCCTTTTGATTGATTACTTATTTAGAAGTTGTTTCTGTTTCTTCTATATTTCCCTGGAACTGCCCTAATCCCAGCAGTAAGACGTATCAATATCAGCTACTGGTTGTGATTCCCATTGCAGCTTCATTTCAGGGATTCTTTATGATTATTTACCTTTTAAATGTTCACCTGACACTTTTCATTTAGATCTTTTGTTATAGTAGCCCAGCCAAGAAATAGCATTATGCATAATTTAAGGACCTGTGACAGTATATATATATGTGAGGACTTGTGACAGTATATATATACCTGTGACAGTATATATATATATCTCAGGGTCAGGACAGGTCCGGTTTTACAGTCTAATTTCCTTGGAAATACATTAGTGAATTTTGGGTTCTTCCCCCTTGCCCCCGGACATACACACACACACACACACACACACACACACACACACACACAACATAAGGTGGTAGCTCCTTGCCTCGGCTGGACAGAACTTCTTACTTTATTCCTCAGATAAGCAGTTAACTAGCTGATGTAATATGATTCCCTGGAAAAGATATAATGAAATTCTTTACCATTATTTCCTAAGGCGAGCTGCTTTTTGGATTATTAATTTTAGGTTATGTTCTTTTAAAAGTGTATATTCCTGTTAGGATTGAATTGAGTTCCTCTAAAATTTGTATGTGGATGTCCTAACCTCCAGTCCTTCAGAATGTGACCTTGTGTAGGTCTTTAGAGAGGTAATCCAGTTGTTAGGTGGACCCTGAGCCAATATGACTGATGTGCTTATTAAGAAGGGGGAATTTGGAGACAGACGCGCTCACAGGGAGAATGCCACGTGGGCATGAAGGTGGCTGTCTGCAAGCCGGGGAGAGAGGCCTGGAGCAGATTCTTCCCTCACAGCCCCAGATGGGAACAGCCCAGCCCACATCTGCTGTCAGAGTTCCAGCCCCCAGAACTGTGAGACAGTCAATTCTGCTGTTTAAGCCACTCAGTCTGTGGTCATCACAGCCCCTGGAAACTAATCCAATCCCTTAGGAAGGTCCTTCATTGCCCTTAATGAGATCTCCTCTCAGATCCTGGCTGTCAGTTCTTGAGTTTTGTGAGAATGTGGGGATTTGTTTTTTTCCCAAATCTTGGTGATGATTTTAGCCCCTGGAGAAGCTGAGTTAGAGTTCAGTGTGTTTTCTAATGACGTAAGCTGTACCTTGATCATGTTATGGACGATTATTTGCACTTGTTTTAAGGACTGTGTGATGCATTATTCTTCCAGGTTACCTTAAATTGCCTTGTCACTTCGAGACCAGAATGGTCTTTCCTGTTGTATCAGAGCAAGCACATCTCTCTATAGCACGCACATTCCTTAGTCCTGAATTTATATATTTGCATTCTCTTTAAGGCAGGCTGTATGCATGGAATACAAGTCCTCAAATGTCTAGAGGAGTGGTGTTCTTTCCAGATCTCACCATATTGTGTTCGATGCTGTGAGCTTATAATTGAGAGAAATCTTTGGGTGATATAATTTAAAACTGAGTGTTGTCACCATGGAAAAATGAACTCCTTCCAGATTCTCTCTTTGAGAAAATCATTGTTGGGCATGTTATTCAGCCAGGAACAGGCTGCACCAAATGTATTAAAATGGATTCAGTGCTTTGTTTCATTTTCTGATATGAAATAGGAATATGGAAATAATTGTTAGAGTCATGGTAGTTTATGAATCGGTGAACATGATACATACAGGGTTTTATTAAGAGGAAGGGAACTTGGAATTTTTTTTTAGATGTGTACCTTTTACTTAGAGCAAAAAGGTGATGTTTTGGGAGAAAAAAACTAACGAAAGCCATACATTCTAACAAAAATATAAAAGATGTAATATAGATTGTTTTTAGGAAACATTCCAATGTCATTCATAATTTTTTGCTTGTTTAATTTTCTTTCTCTTAACCATGCTTAAAAGAGATTTTAGTTTTAATTCTGATGGATGGATTGATTTAAGGAGTAGAGGTAGTAGTTTAAAGAGGAGACTTTTGCTAAAAGCAGCTAGCAATAAAACCATGGCTGTCAAACTTTTACGGAAAGTGGCTATTCCTTCAGCTGTCACTGAAAATTTCTTAGGACGGTCTTATCATTCTTACCTGTCTATAATTACACACATATCTTTGTTGTTGCTTAAAAATCTTGAGTAGAAAAAAATCACTACGGTGACTTTTTTTTTTTTTTTGATTGACCATCTGTCAGTCCTATAGGTGACCCCCCCCCCAGCATCTCATAAGATCTGGTAGAGTCTTCTGTTTTCTATGGAGCCCTTTTTCATTATTCCAGACTTCACTTCTCTGTAACTTCTCTGAACTAGTATTTAAGTCTTTAACCACAGCTAATAACACTTAAATTTAGTTGTTTCACCAACTAGATCTTATTTTTCTCATGTGAAGGAATAATTCCTTATATTTGTGTTCTCCTGTAGGAGATGCATTGCGGTGCACACTGGTTAATTGATTATTCATCTCAAATCTAAATCTATATACTAGAACTGAATTTTGATTATGCAGAAAGGAGTTCAAAGAGAAATTCTTTTTCCCTCAAGAATCAGAGTTTACAACAAAAGACATTCATGACCTTGAGACATAATAGGCTTGTAGTAAAATGGTTGAATGAGTTTCTCACTGAACATATTCTTTTTAATGTTGAGCACGCTGTGAAACAACACCGAGTGTTTCTTGGACATTGACGTTTATTACTGGTTTGGATACTTAGCTCTGGAGACCTCATTTGTCATCGCATAGCAGAGTGAGTTAGACCATAGGTTCTGGAGTCAGGCTGCCTGAGTTTTGGCTTGGCCTCCATTACTTCACTTTTCACTTTGTGACTCTATGACTCACTTTATCTGTGAAAGAGGAGTGATAATAATGCTTACTGTGTGATTTGTTGTGAGGATTAATTGAGGTTTTAATTAGATTTATATATATACATATATATAAAGTGAGATTTATATATTTTTGTATATGTGTATTATATATAATATTTAGAAGAATTCTTGTCACTTAGGAAGTATAAGTTGGCTTCGTAATAAGAATATATATGTTTTAGAAGGAAATATTGTACTGTTTGACATTATTCTGATAACATTTCCAGGTTTGAAAACACAATGGCAGGAAACAGCCTTGTCCTACCCATCGTTCTTTGGGGCCGCAAAGCACCAACACATTGCATCTCCGCAGTACTTCTAACAGATGACGGGGCCACAGTCGTGACTGGATGCCATGATGGACAGATATGTCTCTGGGATCTTTCAGTAGAATTGGAAGTGAGTATTTGAAATGCCTATTGTACTTTTTAAATACAAGAAACTACTTAATAGTGAATAACACAGTTCCAGACTAACACTTGGCTTCACAATAAATTTTCTATGAAATACATTTTTGGCTAAAATTGGTATTATGCAGATTGATTATTTACATTATTCATCAGAGTTGACTTCTGCTGGCTTTTGACTTTTCAAATATTGTATTTACCCTAAGTGACATAATATTGGGTTGTCAGAAAAGTCATGACGCATGTTTGCGACGATGGCACTAGTTCATTTTTGGAAGTACTAGTACTATGTTATTGCTATGTCATTTGACAGCTGACAGTTCTAGCTTCATTCTAAAAAAAATTGAGCGATTTGGTTGAGTTTTGGAGATTATACAACAAGTTGAAGATGCAAGACCAAACCGTGCATTTTTGCCATATTTTACTGTTTTACTTCCATAAAGGGAAGAACGCATGTCAAGTTTGTGAAAAGTTGCATAAAGTTTATGGTGACAATGCTCTAAAAGAATGTCAGTGCCAACGATGGTTCACAAAATTCCATGCTGGTGATTTTGATCTCAACGACGTTCCTCGGTCAGGGAGGCCCACCGAGGTTGATGACAACAAGATAAAGGCATCAATCGAGTCAAACCCACGTTACACAACATGAGAGATTGCAAAAACATTGAACATCCATCATTCAAGCGTTCACGACCACCTGAAGAAGCTGGGATATGCAAGCAAGCTTGATATTTGGGTTCACATGAACTCAAAGTTTATTTGACGGCATGTGTAAACATCTGCAATATGCTCATTAAACGTGAGGAAAACAATTCTTTTTTGAAGTGACTGAGAAGTGGATTGTTTACAACAATGTGGTGTGCAAACGGTCTTGGTCCCAACGTAATGATTCTCCTCAAACAACATCAAAAGCAGACATTCCTCAGAGGAAGGTTATGCTCTCAGTGTGGTGGGATTTTAAAGGTGTCATGTTTTTCAAGCTCCTACCAAGGAACCAAACAATCAATTTGAATGTGTACTGTTGGCAATTGGACTGTTTGAACGAATCCATCATTCAGAAATGTCCAGAGCTTGTTAATTGTAAAGGAGTTGTGTTCCATCACAACAACATGAGACCACACACGTTTGATCACCCGTCAAAAATTATTGGGGTTTGGATGGGATGTGTTGCCACACCCACCATACTCGCCTGACCTTGCGCCGTCAGACTTCCACTTATTTCGCCCTCTTCAAAACTCCTTGCGTGGTATAAGGTTCAATTCAGATGAGGCTGTAAATCAGCACCTTGTTCAGTTTTTCGCAAATAAAGACAGGTCCTTCTATGAACGAGGAATTATGAAGCTCACTGAAGATGGCAAAAGTTTATCAAACAAAACGGGCAATATATCATTGATTGATCTTTGTTGTTTATATAAATAAATGACCTTTGAAAAACACAGACAAAATACGTCATGACTTTCTCGACAACCCAATATGTTACATTTAAGATTTTTCAAAAGATTTTTACCCATTATGAAGGAGGCTTTCAAAAAAGTATTAAAAAACAATTTTGAGCATTTATACCTTTGGAGGCGAATGTCTTAAAGAGAGCAAAACTTTTCATAAAGCATAAATTTTGTTGCATTTGTTTTATAGATCACTATGTATTTATTGCCATTCTTTACTATCATGGACATGAGTACTCCATGGACTCTGCTCCTAGACTTTCTCAGTAGACAGACTAGGAAAATAGGAGTTGGGGACACACACACACACACACACACACACACACACACACACACACACCACTTTGTACCTCCAATTCCAGTAGAACACCACAGGGTTTATTCTACTTTTCTCTTTTTCCATTTTTTAACCTCTCTTGTGATAACTCTTCCCAGGAATTTTTCTGTAAAGGGGGACAGAAAAAATGGGGTATAGCTGGCATGGAATGTAGTGTCAAGAAAGTTGATTTAAGAGGTGGGGTTGGATGTATGAGAAAATTTTGGATGTGTCAGAAAACTTTCTAGGCCTATTCTAACCATAAACAATGATTGAATGTTTCTTTTAATTATAACTGCAAAAGATGGCTAAGATCAATTTAATTTAGAAAATGTCTTCAGTTGTCACATATCAAAACTATAGAACAATCTCAATACTTTTCCCAAGCAATATTTGTTTTTCAACAATTTAGTTTTCCTAGTAAATTAGAATAAATTGTTTGCAAAATGGACACCGTGAAGAGTACAAAGGAGCTTTAAAGGTGTTGGTCATATTCTGGTTTTTTTATATGGGTATTGAGTGTGTGGCTATTCAATGCATTCTTTATATCTTATACATATGTTACAAATATTATTTGTATGTATTAAATATTTAATTATGAAATAACCTACAACCCTGAAGTAGCCTGAAGTAATAACATGCCATTTGGTACAAAGTAGATAAATTTGGGTCTTGATTACCAGACTACTTTAGAATAGTAGGGATTCTGTATAGTTGTGTGACTTTGGACAGTCCTTTCTGTATGGCACTATATCACTAACGCATTAATCTATGAATGTCATTCTTAGTTCCTGAAAGTTAACATTGATATCAGCATTTGGGAGGGCACCTGTCTTCTCTATTTTTTTATTTTGGGGGATGTCAATATAGAGACTCTAAATGTGCTTTTAGATCATGAAAGTATTGTTTTAAAAATAAGTGAGGTTAAATTATTTTATGTACTAATTCACATTCTTAACCTGATTCCTCAGTATACTGTAGCTTAGTGCTTACGACTGCTCTGGTTTGTATCTTGGCTCCATCACTCTCTATATGATTCTGGACACATGGTCACATCTTGGTGTTCCGATTTTGACCTTGAAACTAGTTGGTAGGGCAATTGTGAGCATTAAATAGAAAGTCACTACTTGGTTGTTTTTAGTTTTTGGTGTTCTGAGCAATTCTTCTCAAACCTATATATGTATATGTATATTGAATATGTACATTGAATCCTATTTTTAATAGGATTCCTAAAACATAGTAGTTTTTACAAATTTGGTACTTACGTCAATAAATTTATGTATTTCTAGGTTAATCCTCGAGCACTGTTATTTGGTCACACAGCTTCAATCACCTGTTTGTCTAAAGCTTGTGCTTCTAGTGACAAACAATATATTGTGAGTGCTTCTGAAAGTGGGTAAGTATTTTCTTATTCACTTTTTTTCCTCCTAAGTTCTTTATTGCAAATAGTACCAGTGTATTAGTAGTAGGTAGGGAAGTTTTTTATTCTTTTGGATTATCTTTTAAATAAATGCTTTCGTTATCTAAAATTAAAGATATTTGAAATATGGTGTTAAAAATATGAACTTTATCTTTATTAATGATTTTTATAATACTTTTATTATGATTTATGATTATGCCTTTGCCTTGCTTTTGAGAAACTCAGAATACCGTAGAAGTTAAAGCCTGATCATGCATCACCCTGGCATTGTTATTGAGCTGACAGACAACTTTGAGAGTTTTAAAAACCCGATGATGCTAGGCTAGCATAAATTTGGACGATGAGGCCATGTAAAAGTTCATACAGTTTCATTGATGTATATTACTACACTCATGGAACTACACATATTCCTAAGCCTCAGAACATAACTTGCTTTTGCACACATAGGTTATTGGCTAGTAATTGTAGGGTTCAGAGTGCGAGGAAGTTTTAAAACTTTTTTGGTGCTTAGAAAATTATATATTTACACAATATGTTACTGAAGAGAGTTGGGGAACTGGACGAGAATTATTTAAAAAGTTGTCTCCTTCAATCTCCCCTTAATCTTATAAATTTGAAAAGAACCTTGTGTAACTGTTTGAAATAAGAAGAAGGAGCATCAAGTAAAAATATAGTATCTTTTGGTCAATTAAAGGATAATTCACGTTAGAATACATAGTCTAAACAGATCGAGCATTTTTTGAAAATTTGTTTCATACCATATGAGATATACGAAAGGGTATTTCAAAGAAAATTGTAGTAACAGGACCACTGCCTTTTATTAATGTTGTTTTCGGTTAAATGCTCATAAATCTTAAGTTTATTTCTTTAAAAGACAAGGCATATTGACATTTCTGCTTTTGAATGTTGTATCTTTAGTTAGAGATATAAGCTTTTTTTGTTTGTACGCACTCATATTCTGCAATAAATACCGAATCAAACCTGGAATATTATGTTTCATTTGAAAAGGTTTGGAATTCAGTTAATTTTAATTTTTATTTGTTTTTTGCAGTGCTAAATTTTCTAGCTACGTTAACAACCAATGGAAAAAATCTCAGTGATTTAAACTAAAAGTTTATTTCTTGTTTTTGTCGCTTGCCCCTCATCTGTCACTCGGGGCTGTGCTCTGTTCATTATTACCCTAACTTTGATGTTGAGGTGAGGGAACTACTATTGTCTGAAGCAGCCAGTGTCTGAAACAGAGGCAGAGGAGAAAGAGGGTTCCGGAGGGCCTCGCGTCAGCTCTGGCCAGAACTACTCACAGGACTCCACCAACCAAAAGGGAGCCTGGAGGTGCAGCCCTACCATGTGCCCAGAAAGAATGCAGATCGAGGTGCGGGTGGGTAGGTTGGAAAGGAGATAATGGGTTGGGACAACCAGAATTTTTGATGAACAGCAATAATGACTATACATTACTTTTTTTGGGAAATAGATCAGTTTTAAGAAGATTACTTTTAAACCACTGTGACAAAGTTGAACAGTACTTTTTAAAAATCAGATTTAAAGTTAGCTATGGTTTTGTTTTATAGAGAAATGTGCCTCTGGGATGTGAGTGATGGCAGATGCATTGAATTTACAAAATTAGCCTGCACACATACAGGCATACAGGTGAGCATTTCTGTAACTGTCCAAGTCAGCACAGTTTGTTAAGGGTATACAATTAAAAAATGTTCTTTAAACACTGTGCTGTGTTTTTATATGAAAAATGGGTGGAGATGACAAGCAGACTAGAGTTAAAGCAGTGAAAGTGTTCCTCCTAAGATGGTGTAATAGGGGAGGGTAACAACGCAACGGAGACTGGCGTGGGAAGATGTAAGGCAGCTACTGGCCACTGCTGCTTCTGCTCTGTCTGGCTCCCCTGGTTACCCAAGCGAGAGCCTCTGTGCTGTTACAGCTGGGCAAGTCCTCCAGACCCAAAAGAACGGAATCCTCTCTCGCTAACACCTTTGTGCTTCCATTCGTGGTTGACACAACTGGACCCATTTTGTGGATCATATCCTTTTTATTGCTTGTGTAGTTGGTCCTTAGGTACATTTTTTGACTTTCCAACTCTGTAAAAACGACGATTTCACCTGCCTGGCTTAAACAGGAATTGCCATGGGAATTTATAGTTTTGAGTTACATTCCTAGTATTCTTTCTTACTCTTTCATAATTGTCAGGTTCTTTGTGCTTCGGTTACTCAACATTTACAGTGTTGGGAAAATTCCAGGTAGATAGAAAATATGATTCTCAATGGGGTAGGAGAGGGAAGAGAGAACTCACTTTGATTGAGTCGCTATTGCACAGGCCTTTTCTGTATGGTGTCTCACTTAGTCGTTCCCACATCCCTAGGAATTAAATAGGAGTATATCAGTTTGCATGTAAGGAAGCTGAGACCCAGCGTGATGAAATGACTCAGCCCCAATCTCAGAGTGAGTCGTTCCTGGGGCCAGGATCCCAGATCAGGTTTATCTGACTCTATGGACTGTGTTCTCTCTGTTATATCATACTGCCTCTCTTAAAACACAATCATTTGTTGCAGAGAAAAGAAAAAAAAACCGGTGCCAACACAAATTAGAAAAGCAATGGAAAATGAGTGTGAGGGAGATGGTGATTAGTGCGATAAAGGTCTTTTGTGACAATTTCTTGTCCTGGCAAAGGCCTTTGAAAAATGGCTTTTTCAATGCTGCTAGGGTATATGCCTTTTATTTAACAGGCATGCGTTGTTTATTTTTGTGTCCTATGAAGAGTCATCAAGGTTTGTAGAGAGAAAAGGGGTAAGAAAATGATGTAGAGTCATTGACTTTGTAGGTAATTTATTTTAACTGAAAAATTATATATAAATGTCTCAAACTCATTGGATATAAGTATTGACTGTTGCATAATTTTATGATTGAAAGACTTTTGGTTTACATCTTAGGAAAAATTATATTTATTCAGCATATTTTCAGTGCCTGCTTATTTATCAGATCCTCCATTAGGCCTTCTGCATGTAAATTGGGAGCCATCTCTAAGTAGAAGATGCTTTTTGGTAGATTCACTCATGTGTGACAATTATTTCCTGTGTGATTCTCACCCCGTTAGTTCCAGAAGTGAGTTGTTTTTTATATACTCAGAAATGGTAAACCTTGGTGACATTGGCACTTAGTGAAATCACCAGAAAGTGCCAACATATTAAATTGTCGCATGGGGGCATCCCTTTTTAATCGGAAAACTTGCTTCTCCATTTAGGACACTTTCTTTGCCAGTATCAAAGTGTCTGGGAAGCTAAATATTAGTGTTCAAAAGATTGTTTGAGAGCGTAACTAGAGAAAAAGGTGAACGGTCTGATAAAAGCCCCCTGCCCTTGGGAGAGAGCTGTGCTGTAGCGACTGCAGTGCACCTGGCTGGTGTTGGATGAACAATGACCAAGTTTGCTCCTCTGTCCTCCTTGACACATCCTCCCCTTATATGGGTCAAGGTTACCAAGGGTCACATTATCATATGTGAGTGCCTGGTAGTCCCTGGGACCTCTAGGCTGTGTCATGTGTTTTTAATCAAATTTCTGAGGTCTAGAGGAGTCCCCCCATGGTAGTCTGCATTTTATTAGACCTCCTCGTCGAGTTTTAGGGGCGCTACCTTGAGCTCAGTTCATGAGCTCCATGATCCATGTTTATGTTTCAGCAGTTGTAGTCCTTCTTGTACAGGGCACTCCAGAGCTGAGAAGAGAATGTATTCCTTCAGAGACCATGCTGAGTGCTGAGAACAGGCCTAGCGAGTGTGGCAGCAGATGTGACCTGGGTTTCGGCTGTTTCCCCAGGTGTGGAGTGCTTACAGCATTGCCCTGTGTGCTGTGTTGAGCTTGGTTTGTAGAAGGTCTGATCCTTGAGGAGGAGCAGTCTGGATATTAGGTGTCTCCACCTTCTCAAAATCCTCTAGGAGCATCATTCGACTAAGACTGTCACTATTTTTTGAGGCTAAGGGAAGATGGGTCCTTTAATAAGTTTTTGGTCTTGTTCTGATAGTTGTTCTTCCTCTGCTCTTTGGTCGATGGGAACCCATCTTATCCTTTGAATTATTCTTGGCATGAAACATGTAGATCATGATTGTATTGGTTCTTCTTCTGGTTTTCTTCCATAAAGTGTAAATATGCAGCATGAGATGGTTAACACAGTTGTCTCATATTCTAGTCTGAAATAACACACTTAGAGGAATCAGAATTTATTCCTGATTATAATGTTCAGACATAAATCATCTTTACTTCTAAATCTTAGCTAGTTATTATAATCCTATTCCCATCTGAAATTCTATGATTCAAAATTCATTTGATTTTTGTGACCCACCTGAGCTTCCCTTTTGCTTTGATTTGTGAAGCTGATTTGATTCAGGTGTTTTATTAGTTCACTTAACTGTCTGGTTTCCGATGCTGCAAGAGGATAAAAAAGAATTATCATGAATTCTCCAAAGTTCAGAGGGGAGGATAAGATGTTAGGAAAAGAGTAATTTTTGTTAGATATTTTGAAATATTAACATAACTTGATGTGTGTGTATATACATAGACATATGATATGTACCATACAAGTCTAGCACGTGTCTGGAAATATTACTGAAGAAATTGAGCATTGTAATCAGCTTGATGGATGCATGGGAATCAAGTATCTAAAGTAAAGGAGAACGCTTAAAAATCTTTTTTCTTTTAGTTCTACCAGTTCTCTGTTGGGAATCAGAGAGAAGGGAGGCTTTTATGCCATGGCCATTATCCTGAAATCCTTGTCGTGGATGCCACCAGCCTTGAGGTGTTATACTCCTTAGTATCCAAGATATCCCCAGACTGGATCAGCTCCATGAGCATTATTCGATCTCACCGGACACAAGGTCAGTGTGTGGTGCCCTTTGCGAACTTCACCGTGACTTACTGGTTCTTCACTGTGGTGTTCTGTAATGTGTTATATGGGAATATGTCTGGTTAGATTCTTTTATTTAAGAATTAGCTGATAATTGATGGTCTGTCTTTACCTTCATAAAGGAATCTTTGCTTGAATTAAAATTACAGTGTTAGATTATCTCCATTCCATGGAATAGATCACTGGTTTTTGGCAGCCTGAGTGTGGGGGTATTTTTCCGAAGTGGAGGAAGACTGTTTAACCCCTTTCAGGCATGGTGGGAGGAACCATAGATTTACCTGTGTATTTCTTAGGCCTAGTTTTGTCACTTGCTTAAGAAGCATAGGAAGTATTTCCATTTTATATGGAGATAATCAAAAGGAAGGGGATGATATATATTGAAATTTAATGACAGCTTCTGCTAAGTTTGACTGCTCCCTTACCTGAAGCTTGTGAATTTAGGTTTTATGTCATGTCTTTCTCTTGATCACAATTAGTGGAGGGTATAATGTACAGTAAAAGGTCTGGAAGGCAGGCAAGGTAGGTGGGAAAGCAGGGAAAAAGTGCCTTGAAGAAATAAAGTGAGTGTGCTCATTCATGATAAATAATGAAAAGTTATGAATTTTAAAGAATAAAAGTTCTTTTTTAATATAGTGATGAAGAACATTTGAAATTATTAAAAGGTTGATTAGAAATAAAAAATAAATTCAAGTAGCTAGAAACAAATTTTTCTTGTTGGAAATTGGAAAAGTTTTTGTCCAAATTTTTGGTCAGCTTTATTGTGTTTTAAAATCTGGTTTCTGTTATTTTATGAAATATAGAATTATGTTTTCATGCCAATTGTAGAACATACTATTATTTAATTTCATTAAAGTGAACCATGTTTCGTGTTACTGTTATAATGATGTTCCTAATTTAGAACGAAAGCGAATTATCTTTGTGACCTTGGCTTCTTATTCCCTCTTGGCTTAGAAGACACTGTGGTAGCACTCTCAGTGACGGGCATCCTGAAGGTGTGGATTGTTACCTCTGAAATAAGTGGCATGCAGGTGAGACAAACGGGCCCAGAAGTGATCGCTCTGTTTTCCTTCTTACGGAGTGTGCAGTTAGTATTGATATGCACCTTCCCTTTTTTTCTTGAAGGGGAAGGAAAAAGCTATTCTTTTTTGCTAGTCTTATTGACATAGTATAGAAGATCACCTAGAATCTCTGTAAGTGAAATAAGTTTTTCACGTTTGATGGTAGACATCTGCTTTATAGGATAGAAATAGAGAAACGTATTTCACAGAATAGGAAGAGGTGGGATTTTCCTCAAGTGCTTCCATTTAAGTTGAAAGGTAGTTTGCTCAAGGGAAGAAAATAAAGCAAACCGTCACAGAAAGTATATAAAACCGATTTTAGTCCTCTCTCTGTCTGTTCTTTGGGCTTGAATTCCATGTTACTTTTTATCAATAAGAAAGATAGATCAATTTTCTGACAATATTGATGCTAATCTCTTCAGCTCAGGAATTTTTAGATATTGAATCTGGGACAAACTGGAGGAATTGGTTTGTTTGTTTTTTGTTTGTTTTTTTGTTTTTGTAACTTCAAAGCACATATAGCTACAAAAATTAGGGTTGACTCAAACTTTTATCATCAGTTATTGCCAGAGTGATCACACTGGTTATCATCAGTATATTAATCATGAGTAGCTTTGTAGCAAAAATGTCATCTCCAGATGTTTTTGTAGTGTATTTTTGCTGCTTTTTTTTGCCTTGGTTCTCACACGAGAGGCTAAAATGATGACCATATCAAGTCATGTCTTTATTTCATTTTGTAAAAAATCACTGTGTGATCATGTAATTGACAACCAAGCCATTCCTAAAATTTTACAAATCTTTCTTTTTTCAGGATACTGAGCCAATATTTGAGGAGGAATCCAAACCAATTTATTGTCAGAATTGCCAAAGCATCTCTTTTTGTGCATTCACACAAAGGTCACTTTTGGTTGTGTGTTCCAAGTATTGGAGGGTAAGATATTTACATAAGTAAGAAGTTGTAATTTCATTCTTCAAGATTCTCAGACTTACGGAGATAATTGTATGGAAGAGCTCGATGCTAGAATGTTTTAACCATTTGGAATTCCTGTGTGATTTTGATAATCATATTTTGAGGTGTTGGGATTTGGCCTTAGATAGTTCTCTTTTTTTGTTTGTTTATAGAATGATTCAGTTAATGATCATTATTGATCTTAATGTCTACCTTTTGCTACTGTTTTAGTCATTATCTTGTCAGTACAATGTATGCAGTGGTAGTAGGTTTTCTGCAGGTTGACATACCTTTGAAGAGCCAGCATGTTTTGACTGCTGGTGCCTAACATATTTTTCAAAGCTTCCTATGTGTTATTTCTTTTAACCCTCACAGCTCAGAGGGGAAGTGTATTAGTCATCTAATCCTGCATAACAAGTTACTCCAAAACAGTAGTTTAAACCACAAACATGTGTGACCACCCATTTGCACATGTATCTACCCCCATTTATATATGCATCACCACCCCATCTGTGGTCTGGAATCTGGGCATGGCTCAGCTGGGTACCTCTGGCTCAGGGTTTCTCACAGGCTGCAATCAAGGTGACGGCTGGGACTGTGATCCCATCCTAAAGCCCTGCCCGGGGAGGGTCTGTTTCCCAGCTTACCTACTCAGCAGGTGGCAGGCCTTGGGTCCTCCTGACTGTTGGCCAGAGACATTAGTTCCTTGCCACGTGGGCCTTTCACCCCTGGGAGCTGTCTTCCCTCCGAGTAAATCAGCCAAAGGAGGTGAAGCCAAGACCCACTTAACCTTGGATCTGACGTCTCATCACCTCTGCCGTAGTCAGTTGTCTGGAAGCAGTTACAAAATCCAGCCTACACTCAAGGAAGAGGATGACCCCGAGGTGTGAATACCAGGCGTCAGGGATCAATGGGGCAGCCTTCGAGGCTGCCAATATAGTAGGAATTGCTACTTTCCCCATTTTGCAGATGAGGTACCTGAGGCACTGAGGGATAAATAACTTGACTAAGGTTACACAAGTGCCAGTGGAGCTGCTGGATTACAGCACAAGTAGTCGGAATGTAGCAGCTGCTCTGATTACTGCCCCGCTGCACTACCTCAAAGGGGGTGGGCTATGCAGGAAAAGGACCGACGAGGGCAGAGGTATCTTAGTTTTATCCTTGCCGCTGCTTCTGTTTTGGCATCAGATTGGAGAGGAAAGCTAGCAGCTGCTTATAGGAAGCTATATGGGGGCCTTCTTTGTCTTAACATTGAAAACTCATGCAAATAGTAAAAACAGAGTGCAAGAGGTTACAGTGAAAAGTATACAGTTTTTCCCTTAGGACCCCCTTGCTGTCCCCAGTGGCAGTACCTAATATCAGTTTTTTGTGTGTTCATTGTAAGAATTTTATAGTCACGTGAAAACAGCCTTTTCTTAAATGCATACCTAAGAGTGATAGGCAACCCGCAGACTGAGAGAAGATAGTTACAATACACACTATGATGAAGGACTTGTCTATTATTATTTCTAAAAAACCAGCTCCTACAAATCAAGGTGAAAAATACAGACAACTCAGTAAGTAAGTGGACAAAAACTTTTAATAAAAGAGGGAAGGCAGATGGCCAATAAATGTACAGAAAGGCTCTCAGCTCCATTAATCATCAGAGAAATGCAGATTAAATGACGCTGACACAGAACCATTACCCACCAGAATGATGTTTTCATGTGTTTATTGCCATAGAGAAGTTTTCAGTTTTAATATGGTTAAATTATCATCTTTCATGGTATGGTCTCCAAAACAGTCGTGACATGTGCTAAAGGCCTTACCACAAGCTAAGGTTTTGTTTTTTTTCTTTAAATCTTTTATTTTTTCCTAATGTTTGTATGATTTTATCTTAAATACCTTTGAATGTTTGATCTGGAATTAATTTTGTATACATTGTGAGATGTAAATCCAATTTCACTTTTATTCCAGATGGACCCTCTCCCCCGCCCCCCTTGCCCCCAGTTCCTGATGCCATTTGTTGAATAATTCATTTTTCTATTGTGCCTTTATAATATACTTTATTACTATCTTACTTGAATTGGTTTCTAGACTTGATTTGTCTGTCCATTCATGCACTAGTACTGTATTGCTTTATTTTCCCTAGATTTATAATTTGTTTTAATAGATAATAGGGTGAGAGAGCTGGTCTCCCTTTATTATTCTGTCTCAGACTTTTCTTGGCCACTTTTGTCATGCTAATGTTAAATACTGATCAATAGTATAGCAAATCATAGTGAATTTAGCTAGGATTTGTCCTAATTTCAAGGCTCTGCACAAGTAACTTCATTATTTTTTTTTTTCTTTAAAGAGAAGTAAAGTAAAAACTGTAGGCTACTGACTTACTCATTCTTCCTGGGGAGATTTTCTAGCCACATAAGAATGTATTATCAAATATTGAAAGTGATAGAAAAAGCATTTCCGCTAGGAAGTAGAAGACCAGGGTTTTAGTTCTAGTTCTATCACTTACGGGACACTTGACCTTGAGCAGGTGATGTAACCCTTATTTGCATCAGTTTCCTCTCCATAAAGCAGGGTAGCAATTCCTGCCTGCCACCTCCTGCAGTGATTCTAAGGTCCTATCAAATAACGATTGTAAAGGCATTTTGTAAACTTTGAGGTGCTTTACAAATGTAAGGCCCTGAGGGTCAGTAGCCTGTGTTGCTGATAAAATTATATGGACTTTTATATGTGAGAATTATTAAATAATAAAGCTGAGTCTATTAACTTCCTATTTACAGTGTTTTAGATCATTGGTGAAATAAGGTAAAGTCAAGTCATTCTCTTATTAATCAGGAGATGTTCTGATGTCAAAATGGATTGTTAGAAATGTTACTGAACATAGAACTAAAACAGGAGCTGTATCCCTGCATTCTCGAGGCTGGCTCCTCGTTGCTTGCCCTTCTTGAATGAAGCACTTCTCCCTCTAGATAAGAAAGGCTCAGGACGCCTGTCCCTGTGCAGGGAGCACCCCAGCCCCACTGTCATGGTCTGCTGTCTGACCGCAGCTGGAAGCCTACCTGTGTCTCTGTTGCAGGCGGCTGCGCCCCAGGGCTCACTGACAAAATACCTTACACTGAGGCAGCGAGCTTGAAAGTCCTGAGTTTGTTAAATGTATTTCTAGAAGGTTTATTTTTTTTTTGAAATGTCGCTGTATCTTACTTAAATGACACCAACCCAGACGAGATTGTGAATTTCTCGCTCCTTGTAGGTGTTTGATGCCGGAGATTATTCCCTATTGTGCTCAGGTCCTAGTGAAAATGGACAGACGTGGACTGGAGGCGACTTTGTATCCGCGGATAAAGTCATCATTTGGACCGAAAATGGGCAAAGTTATATTTACAAACTACCTGCCAGGTATTCAATAAATAATAAGTGAGGACTTTAGTCAAAAGCAGAAGATTCTGAATTTGGGGTATAACCTGAAATACGAAAACGTATGTAGTATAAATATTTAATTTAGGTAAAAAAACCTCAGAACTTCTTAAGTTACATATGCGATTCCAGTGTAACTCCTAAGTACAAAAAATAGGTGGCTTTTTATTTGAAATAGGCTCTTTGAATGATGTTCATTATTTAATTTAGTGCTAAATTAAATTAGTTATTAAAAAATCCATTTTTTTCATGTCGAAAAACCTCGTGTGGCACAAAAAATATTTAATGTCAGTATTTTAATTGAATGTTGTGTTTTTCTCATTTTCAGTAGCCTTCCAGCTAGTGACTCATTTCGCACTGATGTGGGGAAAGCAGTTGAAAATTTAATTCCTCCTGTACAACATAGCCTCTTGGATCGAACAGATAAAGAGGTAAAATTCTTCAGGTATCATTTACAATTGATAGTTATGTTGTAAAATTTTCACAACTTTTTTTTGATGTCTTTTGGTAGCTAATCATTTGAAAGTTTCAGTACAATTCTAGGCACTGTGTTAGACACTGCAAAACAGTTTGATATGGTCAATTATAAATATAATTTTTAAATTTGCATATTTTATACATATGCTATGCCTATAATATGGCATTTACCGTTCTCTGAGACTACAGGTGCTCGAATGCTGATTACATAGTGGAAATAAATGGCTTTTTTTATAAAGTTCATATTGATAATGTAAATTTATTTTATACTATTATGCAATTATAAAAGCAGTGACAGCTGTAATACCCTTTTGGAAGGGCAAGAAGAACCATGTAATAATGCTCACTAATAATAGTTCATTACTTGAACAAGGCATTTGCGGTATCTTCCAAAAATCATGTAGTAATTTAAATCATTAGGTTTTAGAAATGAAGAATAAAAGAAATCTTTCTCTGTAAAAACCAAAGTTGATTACGATTTCTTAAAACCTGGTTAATATCAATTTAAAGTTGAAATGCCCAGCATTTGGTACTGGGTTTTCAACTCTGTATTCTTTGAGCAGTAAGAAAAAAACTTTGGTTTTGGAAATAAAGTTTCCTTTACTTACGTTCTGGGTTTCCACAGCTTTATCATTTTGAATCTTTCCATCTTTATGTGGAGGGGTGGTGAGAGGAAGGGAACTGTTACGTACCCTGAATATTTTGAATATACAGAATTTATGCATATACATGTATGTGCAATGTATACAGGTATGTACAGCTAAGATCCTCTATAGCCTGTCATTTATTCTCTTAACTTAAACTGGTTACTGCTCTCCAACCTACACAGTCACCTCCAGTAAAACTAAGGGATACTGACTTTATAAAAAATATACACAAAATAAAACAAATTCTTATCATGTTTCCTTAAATATCAGCTCCCCTGTACATTTTCAATTAAAATATATAATAATAATAATAATAATAATAATAATTATTATTATTATTATATGGTGTGAGGTACTCATATGTTAAAATACAAAATATTGGTTATTCCAGCTGGTGTAACAGCTTCTCCTTGTTCAGCATGTTGTTTACCCATTAAAACTTTTAGTAATTTTCAGACTTTAAGAAAAGTCAAATAATTGGTTATGCTTAATATATAGTTTCCATAGGCTAGTACTTTTTAGGAAAACAACTAATACCAATCACTAATTAAATTACTTGTTAACTGTAATTGTCCAAACTCAATTCTATTTATTACTGCTTTTTAGGATAAAATTCTGTTTTAATAATTATCTGTGAATTAGTACTCTAAAATTTAATTTTAGGATTCTACCACTGTTTAGAATTTTCAAATAAGTGATCTCACTGAAGGTATAAGATCTTAATCAGAAAAATAATTTGTTTTAAAAATGAAAGTATACAGAAGACCCTAATGAATGTTTTTTCTTCCCAGTAATTTATAGCTAACATAATTCAAATTGATTATGTAAATGTGACTAAGTAAAATGTTATACTGTTAGCTGAAGAATGTTCTCATTTAAAGAAAAAAATGGCGTTCTCATAGATAACAGAAAAAACTGATGGTTGCTAGTGGGAGGAGGTTTGGGGGATGGGGGAGAAGGTGAAGGGGTTAGAAAGTACAAATTGGTAGTCACAGAATAGTTGCACAGATGTGAAATACAGTATGGGGAATATAATTAATAATGTTGTAAGACTATGTAGGGTGTCAGATAATTATTGGAACTATCAGGGGGATCACTTCATAGAGTATATATGCCTAACCACTGCAGTGTACACCTGCAACTAACATAAAATAATATTGCATGTCAACTGTAATTAAATATATATATATAGTCATGGGATGTAAAGTACAGCATAGGGAATACAGTCAATGGTACTGTAATAGCTGTGATAGCTGTGTACGATGTCAGACTTGGTGGGGTTATCGCTTTGTGAGGGGTGTAAATGTCTAATCATAACCTTTTTTGTACACCTGAAACTAATCATAAAATTAAATTAAATTTTAAAAAGAGTCATTCATTGTTACTAAGAATAAAAATATAAAACTTATAAATGGAAAAAATTTTTTAATTTTTTAAAAATCAGAAAAACGGAGTCATCCTACTGCACAAACTTGGTAGTTTAATTTTGCTGTTATTCCTAGTGACTAATCAGGAATGGGCAAAAGGTTAGGATGATTAATTCTCCCCTTTTGACCTTTTAGGTGGAGGCTTCTTTTTAGTAAAAAGTAGTATATCTTTGTATTATTTATTTAATAACAGACAAGTAAATTGCATTGTTATGGTGAGTTATCAGTTTTTATAAAGCAGAGAAAAAATACAAATAGTAATTCTATAGAAAGACTATAAATATAATTTTCATTTCTTTGATTGCTTGTGATCTAATGGATTTGAATATTAGTTAACATGTATATTAATGCTACAAAATTATATAAAAATAGTGTTGAATACTCATGCTATAAACACTTTTTTTTTAAATTCTGGTGCCGAGACAAAGTACGTAACATCCTTATTTGAAAAAATGTTAATGTGTGAACTATTTTGATTAAAAAGATAGCTAAAGATATTTGAACAATTTTTTTTTTCAGTTGTTAATTTGTCCTCCAGTTACCCGGTTCTTCTATGGATGCAGGGAATACTTCCATAAACTGTTAATTCAGGGAGATTCTTCTGGAAGATTGAATATTTGGAATGTTTCAGACACACGTGATAAACAGGAAGGTGAAGGAGGTAATAGTAAATCATGTGTAACAATTTCTTAATTCTTCTAATTTAATAACCTAAATACTAACCACTGAAGAACAAATTCATAACGTACGTATGTTGTTTCCTTCTTAGAATTATGGTGGATGACGATTATCATTCTTTGGTATATTCCTGTGTCAACCATAAGCATGTTTATTTTAATATTTTTCATTATTTTCCTAACATGCACAAATGTTTCTCTTTTATACATAACAAAACCTCCACAGGGTTGGAAATGACAACTTCCGTTAGTTTGCAAGAGGCATTCGATAAGCTGAATCCTTGTCCTGCTGGAATTATAGATCAGCTGAGTGTGATTCCCAGCAGTCACGAGCCTCTGAAAGTCACCGCGAGTGTGTACATACCAGCGCACGGACGACTTGTGTGCGGCCGTGAGGATGGAAGCATCATCATTGTACCCGCCACACAGACAGCCATAGTGCAGCTGCTGCAAGGGGAACACATGCTCCGAAGAGGTATACTGAAGACCTCAGTGCCTAAAGCGTTCTGAGGGCTCTGTAACCATGGCATTGACAGTGTCGGCATTCTTTGTTTTTAACAAATACAGTGAATCAGTGTAGCTGTTAGTGTGCTATGTAGTTGGTGGAGTTTCATGTGCAGATAATAAAATACTTAGTGCCTATTCTTGGAATGAATACCATTCTAATGACTGAATAAAGAAGCATTGAATTTTATCTCTTTGATATAAGTTAAGGGTTTCATTTATTATTAGTTATCTCAATGGTTTACTAAATAATCATCTGTTAATAATACTTATAATCTTTTAAAACAGTGTTGTCCAGTGGTTATATATATATATATATATAGAGAGAGAGAGAGGGTGACAAAAAAATATATACACATTTTAAGAAAGGAAAAAAACTATTAAAATTGTAATACTCAAAAGATCAATACAAGTCATGTTTGACTTCTGTGATTACAAGAGGTGCACAAAGCGGTTCCCATCAGCGTCCAGACACTTCTGATGACGGCGAACTACTGCTTGAGCAACGTTGACCAAAGTGTTAACATCTCTTAAAATGTGTATACATTTTTTGGCACCCCAATTTTATATAAATATATATAAACAATGTATGTGATTTTCTAATAGCACATTAAAAAAGTAAAAATGAAGCAGGTAAATTTAATTTTAATAATGTATTTAACTCAATTTAGCAAAACTATTTGCATTTGAATGAGATACTTAACATTCTTTTTTGCACTAAGTCTTTGAAATCTCATGTGTGTTTTTCATTTAGAGCACACATGAATCTGGACTAGCCACATTTCAAGTGCTCAGGGGTCTCGTGGCTGGTAGCTACTGTATTGGATAGAGCAGTTCTAGAATGTAAAATTAGAAGCCTTTCCTATGATAAAATTTATAGTATTTGACGATTCGTGTTTACTGTTATTTGTTGAAACTTTGTAAGACTTTAATTTTCCCATTTTAAATCCAAAACCTCATTCACAGGTTGGCCACCCCACAGAACACTCCGTGGTCATCGGAACAAAGTCACATGTTTGCTATATCCTCATCAGGTCTCAGCTCGTTATGATCAAAGATATCTGATATCCGGAGGTGTGGATTTTTCGGTCATAATTTGGGACATATTTTCTGGAGAAATGAAACATATCTTCTGTGTGCATGGTGGCGAGATTACTCAACTTCTAGTTCCACCTGAAAACTGTAGTGTAAGTTGATCCAAAAAGATTATTTCACTGTGTAGAGCTGAGTTCTGTCGCTATTGGGCTTGATATAAGTGGAGTCTAGAGTGACTTAAAGGAAATGTGACAAACAAATGAACAAAACCCTCTTTATTTTAAAACCGAATAATAGTAACATACAATCTAGGCAAAGTCATGGTTATTTACTATTGGGCACATAGAAATAGAAGATGCACATAGCGTTTTTTTTTCTTGTTGTTAGCTCCTAAATAGCACGGCTTGTCCCTGAAATAGAGAAGCAGTTTAGAATATGTTTATTGAATGAAGTTGCAATTTTCTGTTTTAAAATAATTTAAATATCCCAAAGACATTCTACAGCCTCATTATTTTCAGGTCCATCTGAGCAAAAAGACAGGGAATGTGTGCTTTGGTAGAGGCAAAAATACTTATCAATACTTCTTTATTTTTTTTTAAGATTTTTTTTTTTTATTGGGGAATTGGGGAAAGGGGAACAGCGTTGGGAAATTGAGGAAGGGGAATAGACAAGCCGCCGTCCCCCCGTTCCTCAGTCTAGCCGTAGAGGACATTGCCCCACTGGCTCAAGTTGGCACCATCATTGCGCTCTTCCCAGGTGAGGCAGATCAGTCGCCGGCTTCTGGATGGCTGCTCACGGCGGCTGCTGGCCGCTCACAATGGCTACTGGCCGCTCACACTGGCTGCTGGCTACACACCGTAGCCCATGGCAACCCACTGCAGCAGAGGCTGCAGCCTAAGCCATCTCCAGTGATTCACCACAGCCCAGCTCCAGGTTGAGCTGTTGTTCAGCATCTTAGCTGTAGAGGGCAGTGTCACTGGCCCTCATATGTGGGATCTGAACTGGGGCCCTCTGCATCCCAAGCCAGCTCCTAACCAACGCGCCACTCGGCCAGCCCCTTATCAATACTTCTAAATAGGGTTTGTTTAAATAAATAGTTATTGGGACAAAGGAAAGTTAAACAGTCACTGATGATGATTTTGGAAACTTTTGTCCATACCTTTGTGAGAGCAGATTGCTTTCGTAGTTCAGTGTGTGTCAGTCAGGCCATGATGTCAGATAAAAAGCCCCAATGATTTTAGAAATAAGATTTTAGGAGGGCTTAGGGCTGACAAATAACAGAGCCATAATTTCTTTTACTGTTTATTAATCATGAACTTCTTCACATGATTAGCCACCTTTGTGTGCATACTCATTATCTCCCAACACACACACACACAGAAACTATCTTCTTGCACAGATATTTCATGCTTATTATAATCCATTCAGTGTCACCATTTATGGTCTTACTGAACAGAAAAACATTTGTATCTGATGCTGTTTTCACAAGGTGTTTTATTCCAAAACCCAAGAAACTTTCTTTGTCCTTTTTGCTTAATCTTCCTGATAATGTATTTTTCTGCCATGTTCTGCCAGTGCTAGATTTTGTTTGATTTGATATTGGTGGCCTTGTAAGAATTCCTAGTAACAGTGTGTCTTTTTTTTTTTTTTGTCTGTCAGATTTGAAAATTCAGATTATTAATCGTTCTCTTCTTTTTTATTCCCGTCTTTTCCTTTCCTTCCAATTTGGCTGTTAGTTTATCTTTGTCACTGTGAAAAATTGATATGTATTTATTTGCATAACCAATTATATGTCATATTTTAGCAAAATAGATCATGTTTTTGCACTCACAAGTTATAGCACTGTTACAACCCCCCCTCCTAAACTTCATTGTATAGTATAGGTTATGCACCATAAAAAAAATGAGAATTTTTATCTCTGACGACACACATTTGATGAAATATCTAGTTTTCCAATGCCAAAATTTACTTAGATTCCTTTATATCAGTTTAGAACAACCCTTTCTGATTTGTTTGATTTTTGTTTTTATGAGAATAAAACATTTGAAATAGGGTAGTTAATATATATTTATGAAATTATGAGTATAGTTAAAAGGAAAGTTTGTTTGGAGAGGTTTACATAAAGGCATGGTATCTCTTTTAACGACATCAATACATACACTTTTTAGCTTATATGTTAGTATGAGAGCTTTTTCTGGTTTCTTTTTTTTAAAAATCAAGTGGTATTTAATATAATAAAATGTTTTTGACCAATTACATTTAAAAATCATTTTTGGTGAGTAAAACAACTACTTAATAGACATCTATGTAAATAGAGAGTGGGCTCTACTAGACTCGGAGCCGGCCAAAGGTGTTAGTTGCCTGAGGAATATGAAAATGAGTGACACAGATAAAATACTTGAAAAATAACGTATAACTTACAATTTATTTATTAAAGCCTAAAAAAATAGAGATTTTTTTCTTGTTTTTCATTGCCATTCAAAAGTACTGACGAAGATAAGAATTTTGCTTTTAGTTTTGCAATAATTTAACAAGAACATAATGACTGCCTAGTTAATAACCTTTTCATTTAGGTGGTGGTTTTAGGTACATCAGCTAGTGTGTTTAAAGATCAAAGATCCTACCTGATCAATAAAAAGCTAAGAAGAATTTGGCATTTGCTAAATGTTTAGCAAATGACTCTTTAGATGAGATTAGAGTTCACCGTATCATATGCTCGTTCTGCTGCTTGAATTGCCGCTCTTATAAATTGATCTGGTGTCATTTTCTTTTAGCAGAAAATATTTTTATTTTAAAGTTGTGATCCCTGGTAGATTAGATTGCTTATCAGTCCTAAGATTATAAAATTTACCAAACATGATGATAAAAGATAAATGCTGAAATGTTTGCCTTCTGCTTTTTTTATTAGAGTTTTGGTTTTTATCTTAGCTATATTCAGAAAGAAGTTGAGTTTTGACTTCTTCCAAATTTTTTTTTTTCAGGGAAAGATGTTCTAAAAACAGAAATGTTTGTTGTGTTTTAAAAATCACTAAAGTCGTAATTAAGAATGTACAAGGTTGATGATTTTTCTTTTCTTATAGTTGTATTTCATGTTTCCTAAAATATAGAAAGTTGTCAAGAAAAAGCACTCAGCAAAATCATTGTTTGTCTCCTAGCTTAGGTAGATAGTGAAGAAATAGTGAAATCTTCTCTGCCAGATGGTAGAGCTGGAGACAGCTGAGTAGTTTGGTAAATTACCTAGAGCTGGGAGATTTGACTGACAGTATATTGACTTTTGAGGGGTGCTGAAATTTGTAGTTTTGAGATCTCTAATATTAGGTTATTTGCTATTTCTGTTTCTTTCTTCTTAAGCTTATGGAATGTGGAAGTAAAAATTAAGTTTGAGGTTTTTTTTGGGGGGGTGGTTTCGTTTCTGGAGAAAACAAAATGTACTGTATATACATATAAATATATATACATATATAAATATATATATGAAAACTGAAGTGAAACTAAATAGCATTTGAATTATATAACATAATATAAAATAAAATCCTATACCATTTTTGTTTATCATTCCAAGTTGTGTTTATTATTTTTAAATGGATGGTTTTGACCTTATACACCACTATTTAGGTAGAATAGTTCTTTGGCAGTTTTAATAGGATTCAAATTTAAAGTGGAACATTTATTATTAAATTAGATTGCCACTTCAAATACTTATACAGATCTTTTTCAAAACAATCTTGCTAAATGTTTAACTGACTTACTAAATTTTCATCTGCACTTAGAATATTATTTACCGTAGTATCTTAAAAATATTTTATAAATAGGTAATGATGCACATAGTATAAATGTAAAAGGTATTCAAGGTTATTAATGAAAAGCAAGTCTCCCTTTCTCTCCTATTCTCCAGCTCGGAGGTTCCCTGAACCCTTAGTGCAATGTCTTATAATCGCTCAGATTTTCTGTATTATAGTATTTTAACACTTCAGAACTATAGCATTTCAGTTTAATCTTATTCTAATAACTAAGACATTTAAGCACCAGAGAGTGGTTAGAGACAGAATGCTTTCTAGATTTGAATAGCTTGTCACCCACAATAGGTGTGGGTGAACAATGTTGAAAATCCGAACCTTTCGGCTGGGGGAGGCCCAAGTGCACCAATTGCCTGGGAAGTCGCAGGAAGAGAGCCGCCGAAAGGGAGGGAGGGTGTTGTTAAGGCTGCTCTGGCGCCGCAGCAGGGAAGTTGTCCTAAACATCTCACGTGAGGACCTGTCGTCACAGGCGAGAATGGGCCGATCGCTTCCCTCCCACCTTCCAGCCGGCTTGTTTTACCTTCTCCGCTTATTTATCCTTCTCCTTTTCCTAAAGCTTCTAGTGTAAAGGAGTCCACTCTCCAAGACCCAGGAACATTTTCTTTTATTTCTACACAGTTTATTTTCAAAGAAAGAAACCAGACTTCAAAAAAAAAACCAAACAACTAAAAGAAGAAAAATTTTAAATGCCAGGAGTGCTTTGAAAAGCACGTAGGGTTCTTTTTCTTAATAAACCAGGTAGATATGATTGATAGGACTGAACATTCAGAAGTGAGAAAATAACCCTAGTGACTTAATAGTATCGTTCTTAAATGTAGACTTGCCTGATATCTTTGCACAGAGCTCCCCACATTGCCTCAGTTGATTTGTGCAACGGGTGGCTGCATTTAGAAGCACAACTGACACATGGAACATTTGTGTGTGTGTGATACAATATGATAGCATTTATTTACATTTTGAAGACACATGGATATTTATGGATACATATATAGGTAGTGAAAGTATTAAAATTGAACTAGGAAGTTAAGTACCAACATCAGATTCTGCTTTATTTTGAGAGTGAGAAGAATGAGTGTGAAAGGAAACAAAAATGTGACTCCTTTAAGTGTCATGTTTTATTTACTTGTAGTAAATATATATTTAACGTGTATTTTCTTCTCTCATTGGCATGGATGATTGGATTATCAGAGCTCTCTGCTTGCTGCTAGAACTTTATTCAGAACAGAATTTTTGGAACATGTTTCAAAAGAAATTATTTAGTACCAATAATATATGTGTTTCTCTGTGAGCATATAGGCTAGGTTCTTCAATAGATTAGTTCAGTGATGATTTTTCATTTATAACACCTCACTAAA